CCACAATCAGAAGAGAAAAAAAAATCTATTTCATCACTACCTCTAACATTCTGTTACTAGTAGAGCATGTGGCTTTATTAATATTTCTGGTTAAAGAGGTGAAAATTACATGGAAAGGAAATTTGGAAAGTGGCTAAAAATACATACTGATAATCTTTCAGTTCTGGCATTTGGGTCTCTGAAAGTACTATCTCCTCACCACCCCTACTCCCCCAATACCCGTTGCCTCCACTTTATGCCCAGATAACTCCTGTATACATTTTAGGTCTTACCTCAAACATTACTTCAATTGGGAATCTTCCCTGGAATAAGATTTTTTACTCTGTACCACTGTACTGCAATGACTATTATTTCACTTGAAGTACCCCACTCCACACCCCCACTTGCCAATAAGTCCAGAAAATACAGAGGACTGGACCTGTTCACTGTGCTGTACCTTACAACCTACTGTAGTATGGTGCATAAATTCTAAGTAGGATACTTAAATGTATGCTGAATGAAGGACCAAGAGTTTGTATGATAAAACTGAGTTTCTTAAGTATTATTTTTTTCCTTTGGGGGGTTCTAATGGACACTAAGGATTTTTCTTCCAGAAAAAAAATATACAGATATAAAATTTTATGTATGATTTTTAGGATCAAGGATCCCAGGTTTAGAAGCCCTACACTAGGCTTTTTTTTTTTTTTTTTAAAGATTTTATTTATTTATTTGAGAGAGAGAAAGAGAGGGGAGAGACTCAGAGGGGAGAAGCTGACTCCCCACTGAGCAGGGAGCCTGATGTGGGACTCGATCCTGGGACTCCGGGATCATGACCTGAGCCGAAGGCAGTAGCTTAAACCAACTGAGCTACCCAGGCGCCCAGCCCTGCACTAGACTATAGTGAATTCATGCTATGAAGTTTCTTGGTAAATAGCCATTTGGCTTCCCCTGCCAAAATGCCCATTGGGACATGCACTTTTTACATGAAAACATATGAAGTTCCCCAAGCAGGATAGGGTTATACTAGGGTGCAGTAATATTAATGAGTAAAAGTACATTAGTAAATGTCAATGGGGTTATCTCAGCACCAGACATTTCCCATAGTCACTGAATAACACTTTCCATTACATCTATTTTTTCCTTGCTTATTTTTATCTTATCAGTAGAGTATTCCCCATTATATCTTAAGCGTAAAGTATTTCCTATTGAATGGAAAAATCTGATCACAAATCTGCATCCATAATTTGTACCCAGACTGTCCTCTAGGAAATGTGAAGGGCTATCAATTTCTTAGTGCCCAGAACTGGACTTTGCATGGAGGGATGTCCAGTAAATATTTCTACCAACAGACTGACCAAAACACATCCTTGCATATAAAGCAGCATCATTACTACGCTTGCAGATGTTTCAGATAAGCTCTCTCTTTATACATTACAGTAAAATGCCAGCTCTTGTAATGAACTAGTACTAAAGCAAACTGCAAGTCAGGGAGACTGCAGAGTTATGCAGTAATGGCACGTATGAAGTCCACCATCACATACAGTTCTCTACAGTAACCTGGAAATCACCGTGTCTGCCCAATAGATCTCTTCTTCCACAGTCTGTCTCTTCTTATCTGTATTTGAAAAGGAAGTTTCCCAAGTCAAAAAAGTAACTTCAAAGCCTATAGCTGTCTTTGTAACCAGATGGTGTATTTTATTGTATTAAATTGATCATCTGTGTGCATTGTCTCTCAACGCCGGATTCCCATTCTTTAAAAGGTTACTAGGAAAGTAAGTATTGCTTGATAACTGACTTATATTTTTAACCAATTATTTTTTTGGTTATGGAGGTCCAAGAAAGGACAATGCTAAAACGTGAATTTAAGCTTACTTACTATTACTTTAGTCTGTCTGGTAAACAACTAGTTTAGACTGCTCCAAAAAGTTAGCTATAAAAAACAGAAATATACATTAAATTGGTAATGTATTTAAGAATGTGGTGCGGCTCAAACTGTGGCTCCATGAATAACTATTACACACATAACTAACGTTTATAGGGTGTTTTTCATTAATTATCTCACTTAATCCTCCTAACCTACAATGAGATAGTTACCGCTCCTAACTACTTGCTATTCTCCAGCTCAGCCAGCTCACCAGGTACTGCTGGAAATGTCCCCCCTTCACCCCACGTCTGCCTGATGATCGCCTAGTTATGTACAGTGTCCAGCCCAGTTTCACTCATTGAACGAAGCCCTTTTCGGAACCCTCTCCTCTCCTGTGGAATCAATCCTAGGCTCTTGTCTTTAGGGGAAATCTACTTACAATCATAGATTTGTAGATTTCCTCCTGGTTTTAAAAAAAGTGTACTGGGGGAAAAAAAGTATACTGTGGGACGCCTGGGTGGTTCAGTTGGTTAAGCATCTGCCTTCGGCTCAGGTCATGATCCCAGGGTTCTGGGGTTGAGCCCTGCATTGGGCTCCCTGCTCAGTGGGGAGCCTGCTTCTCCCTCTGCCTGCTGCTTGTGTTCTCTCTCACTGACAAATAATAAATAAAATCTTAAAAAAAAAATAAAAAAAGTGTACCGAGAGATCACCTCCTTAACTACCAATAAGCACTGGAATAATGAAATGAATGCTTCTATTCCCATGTATTTAAGGGTCAAGCTAGGCAGAAACTCTAGGTCTAGGCCTATACTTTAGGCTGCAGAGTGAGAGGTGGGAGCTCTGTTTTTAGAAAACAAAAGTTGGAAACTGCAAAGCTTCTATTGCTGAGGGCACACACAATCTATATTATCGTCTTACAAGGGTGTATGATGCTTTTTGCCCATTTTCTCTTGTGGGAGTCAGGATGCCTCATTGCAGGAGTTGTGTGGTCAGATATCTTTCCCTTTATGAGTCAGCTGGGAAGTACAGTATGAATACTCCTGTGTGTCCAGGCACCAGGTGCTCCATTTTGTCAACAAGGTGAGATTCACATTATCACTGGCCTGGCGATAGCTAAATTATACCTAAAAAATTATCACTGGTATTAATATTAAAGCAGACATTTCCTGAGTCCAAATGACTGTTCAGACATTCTGAGTTAGCTAGTAGAGCAAGGAAATAAAAGCCCTGTAAAGCACCACCTTGTTTCCTAGATCACTAAACCTACAGATGCCTTCCTGGGCCTGGACTTTCTTTTATTATTTCCATTTCTAATCATTTGAAATTGTTGTTTCTCTTGCCCAATTTAAGGCAAAATTCCAAAATTCAATGACAGCATTTCCCTATTTTCCTCCACACCCTCTATAGTTGGTTCTAAGGTGTTGGGAACTCCCTATTTGTCTATTTTCCTTAATCAAAGGATGTGCCACCTAGAGCTTAGGTTGCAGGTCACGTACATTTTCCATCACAGATTGCCCCTTGAAGGATTCATACAGCACCACTACAAATGCTTACATGAACCGAACAGCTCACTTTTGCTCACTCAAAGGAATCTTGTTCTAGAAACAAATACATAGTCAAAGTACTAAAATTGTTAAAAATTATTTTTCAGACACTGATATACTAGGTTTTATAATTAAAGGTGTATTTCATATTGCGTTACTTTCAATATGGATGAGAATATTTTTGAAAACCAAGTATGCAAATTGAGGCATTTGCTAAAAGACTTCTTGGTAGCCTTCTAAAAATGTGTTTTTCTTCCCTCAAGATTCTTAAACCTTTGGAGGCTGTTTTAAACAATACTGGCATTCTATGGAATTCCAGCTGATGTCTTCCAATCCTTGTGCATGTTCTGATTCTGAGACTTAGAGCCACAGGAAGCTGCCCAGTTGACAAACCAATTGTTAAAGGATGCAAAGGGTTTTAAAAACGACTTAAAGACACACCAAAATGAATACTTTGTGTTCTGAGATATTAATCCGCTCTAAAACTTTCTCAAGGCTAAGCCCAACTGGGAAAATAAAATCCTTTTCAGAATAAAGGGTGAGATCTGAGTCATGATAAGATCGCAATATAAGGTCAAGGGCAAGGAATCACTTTTCCCAAACCCAATCTGCTATGTGCAGCTCACCTTACGGTCTCTATTCTGAAGATATGCCTAAATACCAGGCAGATGTTGATAAAGAATTTCTCATTTGTGAGCATTTCTGTCATTATTTTAAAGCTAGAGAATAAACACTAGCTAAGAGGCCACTCCATAAAAAACAAAAATATTTGCATCTAGGACTCAAACTAATTCTCTTCCTTATGGCATTGAGTTAGGAGAATTAAGGGGTATAAACTGAAAACCTCTGATAATTTAGAAAAGGTTCCAGGAGAAAGTCACAAGTTAAGTAAGCGACCACAAAAGTCTCAAAGGTATTGACTGTGGAAATTTCAAATGGGTCATCACAGTTACCACAAATAACTTATAAAAAGCAATGGCCAATAGATTCCATGGGAAGGGATTACCTTACTAATCATGTTTAACCTTTTAAAGCATTATCCTTTTTTAAGCGTCCATATTCATTCAAAAAGCACTGAATGTAAAACTGCTTTCTCATCTATAGTCCATATTATTAAAAAATGATAATGTCTGACCAAATATTTTCTAGATATCATAGCCTGTTTAACATTATACTCTGATGCCCCTTGGTAAAACACCGAATGTTTCAACTATGTCATGTACAATCCTACAGTCTTGCTGTCTTAACTTACTCTATTAAGAATTACTGCAATTTCCATAATATTTTAGTATATAATCAATACTAATAGCTTCTTCATTATCGATTAGGGCCAAATGTGGTAAGTGACCTCAAATGTTCTTTTTAGAAGGCATAAAGACAAAGAGCTCTAAATAGGCATCAGCATCTTTTGAAAGGATACCTCAGGGGGCAGAGAAAAAATATTTTTTCCCCCGAAAGTACAGAAGGGCAACTGGGTAGTAGGTAAGGATGAAAGGTTTTCATGGTTGCTAACAGGTTAGAGTATGGGTTCTTCCTACCTCTCCCTGACCCTCCCAGCCTACTGTAACAATGAGGATGCTGGTGAGATACTAGTGGATAGGGTCTGACCATACCTTCATGGGTAGGCTCTGGGTCAGGTGTAAGTGAGATGTCATCCAGCTCTCGCAGGCAGAGCCATTCTCCGTCCATAGACACTCGGAATTTGCAAAGGTAGATGGTCTCCATGGCAGCCTGTGTGATCTTGTCAGTGGTGGGGGTTGGCATATCGGTTGGAGGCGTCAGAGCAGACATGATGACTCAGCTGGGACCACAACACACACTCACACACACACACACACACTCACACACACACTCACCCCAACAAAAATAAATAAAACCTCCTCACCAAAAAACCCCAAATCCAAAGCTCTGGAACAAAGCTCTCAAGAAAAGGGGTGGGGGAGATGAAAACAAATCACAAGGAAAAATGCCTACGGTTTAAGAAGCAATTGCTCAAGATAAACAATTTAATACTATCTTTTCTCATAGATAGTTCCTACCACATAGCAAAATAAGATGATGCCTGGTCTTCTCCTAGCTTCTCTCCTTTTATCTTCTCTTCCCTACCCCCTCCTTTTTCAGCTGAGCTATCGGCTTTAAATCCTGCACAGCTGATGCCACCTTAGCTGGCTTTAAAAAACTGGCCTCTGCATGAGTAAGTGAAAAATCCTCCTTTGTGCAGGAAAAAAACAAAACAAAACAAAACAAAAAAACAACAAAAAAAAACAACCCTGAAAAATAAACCAATATTTTCAATTTAGCTTAAAAAAAATCCTGAACTGCAGAAATCACTTCCAGGATCTGCTCAGATGAGCCGGGATGCTGAGTTCTAATAGGATTGGTTGTGCGCAGTAAGCAGGGTGTTGACCAAAATGGCTGACTAATGAACTGAACTGAAAATCCAGGCTCATGTGACCAGCTGCTCTGAACGTGGGGCGAGCAATTCCCAGGATGCTTTATAGATGCTGCTGATGCAGGGAGAGCAATTAGGCTGCTGCTCTCATCCTGTACAACCCACTTCCAGACTGTGCTAGTCAAACTGTGATCAGACATAACACAATGCACATATCCTCATCAATTCCCTCACTCTGGGATAAAAGGGCTGGATAATAGGAAGACAATTAACACTGGGTAATACTCCACAGGAGAGATGATAAAAGAGACAGATGAATTTAACAAGCACATAATTCACCTCTAATCTTTACCCTCATATACCTAGCTATTAAAATTCTTTACTCCGCTGAAGGTGGTGTTTTAAGAAAAAGCAAAAACAGATTTTCAAGTTAAATATCATACTCTTAGGCATTTATAATTTCCTTCCCCAAGGTACAAAAACCTGACTTTCTAGACTGGACAGAAGTGCAAGAAAAAAACTTGACGGTAAAAAAGCAAAATCCTTTCCAATTAATGGCAACCCCCCCTTTTGATGTTGCTGTATTTACCAAGTTTCTGCATAAAGTATGTATTATGTTTCTAATCAGAAGATAAAACTATGTTTATTTTTAAAAGTCTCTCATTCTAGGGATTTCCTAGTTAGAAGGATACCTTGATTTCTGAGAACTAAAAAAAAAATTCTCCGTATTATAATTATATTTTATATACAATACATATGCATGCTATGTAACATTTAAATATAATATTAAAATTTCATAAATGATTCATCCTAATTTGAGATTGAGCTCAAAGAAAAAAATGCTAAGAACCAGACTCTAGATAAACAGGCATTTCTCAAACTGGCAGAGGGAAAGCAAGCAGGTACAATTTCAAAATGCATATACATATATGATTATTTACAATTAGGAAGAAAATTAGCAAGTTATTAAGGAAAACAAAATATCCCAGGTTTATTCATTTCTATTTAAATCTCTTCCACCATTCTCCTACATCTGGACCCAGAGCTATTCATTCATTCATTTATTCACTCAGTAAATATTCACTAAGAGTATTCCACATGCCAGGCAGCAATCCAGGCACTGGACATGCAGCAGTAAGACAAGATCACCTCTTCAAGGAGGCAGAATTTATGTATCCAAATACTGAACACAAGCCTTCATTTAACCCAGTCACATTTAATTACAGGTTGATTCCTTTCTAGCCATATACATTTCCATCTTATACATTAAAACCTTAAGCTATGCAATACTTCAAAACCTTATAAGCAGTCATTAAAACCTTTAAATGGGGGCGCCTGGGTGGCTCAGTTGGTTAAGCGACTGCCTTCGGCTCAGGTCATGATCCTGGAGTCCCGGGATCGAGTCCCGCATCGGGCTCCCTGCTCAGCAGGGAGTCTGCTTCTCCCTCTCCCGCTCCCCCCTCTTGTGCTCTTTCTCTCTCTCACTCTCTCTCTCAAATAAATAAATAAAATCTTTAAAAATAAATAAATAAAAAAAATAAAACCTTTAAATGAAACTTACACTGAATAGTTCCTGGAATCACAATGCCAAAGAGCCCTGCCTATTTGTACATCGGCACCAAGACTGTAAGTCACTGATACATTCTTAAAATACAGAATGGTGAAAACAAAAAAGAAATCTGAATGCTTCGAGATTTCCTGGGTCCACCAATACCTGAATTGAGCCTGTCACAAACCATGACAATCTTTTTACCAACCAGCCAAGAAGCATTTACTAACCCTGAACAGATAGGGATTGATTACAACACACCAGCATAACAAGAACACCTAGGTCAATAAGCAGAGAAACCTGGTTAATAATACTCCTTCCAAAGGTTCTTCTCTCCAAGTAGAAGACACCAGGAGGGAAGCCCAAAGGGAGGGAAAAACCCTCCTGCAGGAGCTAGCCTTGAGTTTCCCTTATCTGTCAGTTTGAGGAGGTATTAGCAGTCATTTCAGAAATAAGAACCGTGAGTGAGCAGGAAAACCTGTATTTCCACCCTCTAAGGCAAACCTGCTTGCAGGTAAACACCCTTGAATCTTCAGTTTGAACAGTTACTCATTGTTCACAAGCAATGAATTTACTATGAAAACAGGCACTATTTGTAAACCAATAAAAATAATTCTAAACATCGTTTAGCACTGTTTTTACATTTGGGTCTTTACTAGGTAAATATTAGCTTAGAATGTAAAGGTAACATTAAGTCATCAGTGAGACAAACCTTGGAACTTTTTTCTCATTCAATCCTACCTGTGAATAAAGGCACATATTTATAAGGTAGTTGTGAAGAGGACTGAGGTATAGTCTGTGGCCCTAAAACAGAACTAACAGGCTTAGGTGAAATTCAAATCCAAGGTGATGATCTGAATAATACTAGGTTCTAGCTGCTTACACAGCTCAAATTTTCCACATTAAAATTGATCCAAAGCAAATGAGATTCACATGTCAAAGTCAGAAGTCACATTCCTTTTAAGAATATTTACTCAGCTACTATTATAAGAAAAAGAATGATTTGTCATGCTCAATGTCCCTGTTATACAATGTGGAAAAATTATGACTTAAGGTACCTATCATTTATTAACTCTCTTATTTTCCTTTAGGTGCTTTATAAATACTGTATCAAATCCTCACAAGAATCTTGCAAAGCAGATATTGGTATCTCCGCTTTACATACAAAAAAACCAAAGTCGAGCCAAGTCACTGGCCCAAGATCACACAACTAGCAAGCAGCATATCTGGGATTTCAAGATCTGCCTTTGGGGGGGCGGGGGTAGAGAGAGGGCGGGAGGAGAGATTCCCACGCAGGGTGTACGTTCGGGACTGAGCCCGTCATGTCGGGCTCAATCTCACAACCCTAAGATCATGACCTGAGCCAAAATTAAGAGTCAGATGCTTACCCAACTGTGCCCCCCAGGCGCTCCCCAAGATCTGTCTTAATGTCCCCAAACCAAAGTCCACGTTTTCTTTCATACCTTGAAATGTCAGCACGCCAACCCAAGGATTAAATTTTAATTAGGGAAAATAAAAACAAAACGAAAAGCAAAACCAAAATAACACAGGCAACATCCCTATAAAGTTTCCCAAATATGAATTTCAATTTAAGATTCGAGGAAGAGGAAATTTTTATTAACTTTCACACTTCACAAACCATATATTCCACTTACTCTTATACATTCTAGTTAGGTTTATAAGTATTTTCTGAGAAACTGAGAACCGAGCACGGATCTTTCCTGCTGTGTGCTGCAACCACATTCTTCCTGATCACCGTGAAGGATATACTACTTACTATACCTCTACTCTGAGGAAAAGAGCTGGAAATAACCATCTTAACAAGTTTCCTCCTCATCCATTAACTTAGTTGGGCATATATAAGAACACTGGATACATTCAGTAGTGTGAAAAGATAAATGAAGGTGGGAATTAATTTCTAAAATGACTTACTCCAGAACTTCTTCAAATAGCTAACTTCAATGTGTAATTTTTTTTTAAGGTTTTATTTATTTATTTGACAGAGAGGGACACAGCGAGAGAGGGAACACAAGCAGGGGGAGTGGGAGAGGGAGAAGCAGGCTC